CAACAGCTCACTTTGCGGCCTTCTTCGCCATCTTGTACTTCTCTATGTTGTCTGCACTCCTATCCAGGTATAGGCGTCTGAAGCATTCTTTCTTCTTTTTAATCGCCTTCTGGACATCATCATTCCACCACCAGGTATCCTTATCTTCGCTTCTCCTTCCCCTGGACACTCCAAACTCCTCCGAGGCCACCTTACGATTGCAAGTCGCCATCTTCATCCACACATTGTCCGCATCCCCTCCTTCCTCCCAAGGGCCCTCCTTAATGACCCTCTCCTTGAACACCTGAGCTACCTCCCCCTTGAGCTTCCACCACTTCGTTCTAGCGACTTTGGCACGCTTATCCCGCTGGACACGAATCCGAAAGCGGAAGTCAGCAACCACCAGCTTATGCTAGGGTACAACACTCTCTCCAGGTATCACCTTACAGTTTAGGCACACACGCCTATCTTCTCTTCTCGAGAGGATGAAATCAATCTGGCTAGAGTGTTGGCCACTACTAAAAGTCACCAGATGTGATTCTCTCTTTCTAAAGAGGGTGTTAGCTACAATCATGTTGTAGGCTAGAGCAAAGCTTAAGATATCTTCTCCTTCTTGATTCCTGATGCCATAGCCAAAGCCCCCATGTGCCCCTTCAAAACCCGTGTTAGATGCACCCACGTGACCATTGAGGTCTCCTTCTATGAAGAGCTTCTCACCAATCGGTACACTCCTAACCATGTCTTCCAGGCCTTCCCAGAACTCCCTCTTGGCGTTCTCATTGTGGCCTACTTGCGGGGCATACGCGCTGATAACATTGAGAACCAAGTCCTCAACTACCAGCTTGACCAGGATAATCCGGTCCCCACGTCTCTTGACGTCTACCACTCCATACTTGAGGCTCTTGTTGATCAAGATGCCTACGCCATTTCTGTTCACAGCCGTCCCCGTGTATACCACAGCTTGAAGCCAGTATCCTCCACCTCCTTCGCCTTCTGTCCTCTCCATTTTGTTTCTCGGACGCAAAGGATATCAACACCTCTCCTCACCGCTGCATCAACTAGCTCCCGAAGCTTCCTTGTCAGAGACCCTACGTTCCAGCTACCTAAGCGAATCCTCCTAGGCTCGGCTAGCTTCCTTACCCTTCGCACTCGTCGAGTCAAATGCGAAGACCCTTGCTCATTTTCCACTACATCCGGGCGCCGATGTAGCGCGCCACTAAGGATGCGACGACCCAATCCTCATTCACTTGCCACCGTATCCGGATCAATATACGGCGCGCCACTTGGGGGGTGACGGCCCGACCCTTACCCATTTTCCACCACACCCGGGTTCCGATGTGGCGCGTTGCTGAGAGGGTTACGCCCCAACAAAAAACTTTTGGGTTTCATCTCCATAAGAGTGGCTGAGTTTTTACGTTGGCTCGCCAAGCCTATCACAACCCTCCTCCTTTACCCGGGCTTGGAACCGGCTATGTTGAGACCCTCGTCATCATCTCCTCGACCAAATCCACGCCGGTCGCCGCGATACATCTCTAGTAGAGCAATCCGGGCGCGAATGGAGAAGCCACACCGTAGCTCCGATCCCAATCGACTTGTTCGTCCTGGCCCGGCACCAGGAGGAGGCGACGGCGTCGTCCGCGGCTACAGCGGCACGGTAGGGCGCTCCCCGCGGTGGCTAGTGCCTCGGCGGCGATGGAAGGAGGTCGCCATCCTGGGTTGAGGGGGCAGCAGGAGATTGCTGCCGTGGCGTGACCCTCCATCCGGCCCACGCCTCCGAGCCATGAGGTTTCCCCTGTTGCACTCTCGGTCCAACTGCAAAGTGAAAACTCCCACATGGAGACCTGAAATCCGAACTCGTAGCGACGACTTTTCTCTGCGCCAGTAGCATCGTCGACGACTTCTCTTGCTCTTCCTTGCATCTTACTTTTATGTTGGAGAATGAAAGTGCACTGCTCCCAGCACCAAAGCAGCCTACATATTGATATTTTCCTCTACCAAGCTTCGAACCTGAAAAAATAACGGAAAAAGGAAAATTTCTATGAATGTAGTGAGTATCACAACACTTGTGGGGCGCTAGATGGGAGGTCGTACACTTTATCAGGGGCTGATAGTTTGTGATGTACAAATATGTGGAGTGCAAATTTTTTTTAGTAGGTTGTTGGGTGAGAGCGAAAAGGCTGTGAATAGGGAACTAACAAGGAATGTAGGCACTGTATCAGTTGTATTGTTAGCCTATAAAAGTTCCACAAATCAATCAAACTGGGAACACTTCTATTAGCTGCACTTTTATCCGCTTGACAGATACATGCCTTACCGAAAAAGCCTTTCAGCCCACTTTATAAATAAAGCAAACCACCGAGTACAAAGTCAACAAGGTACCATCCGAACAACACACACACATACAACGTCACCGCAAGCAAGGTCCAACACACACGCACACAAACACTACACAAGGTTCAGTTGTCGGCACAGCACAACAAGCCCAGCACATAAAGAGGCACCCACAACACATAAATGGCGGTGGCGGCGAGGTAGAGAAGATCTAATCCGGCTCTGGTGGTGGTGGGGGAAGCGGAAGAGCCATCCGGAGAGCCATCGCGCAAAGCTGGGTGATGATGGAGGTGATGGCGTCTCTCTCCCTAGGGCGGCTAAGCGGCCGCCAAAACTGCAAGTAACCATACCATTTGAACAAAGCGTCAGTAGCGCGACGAAGAGGGACATGCTGAATCACAAGCTTATTTCTAATAGTCCACAGCATCCAGGCTAGCACACCGATGGTCAACCACCTAATGTGGCGAGACGCGGGTGGTAACGCCTGAAGTTCGGCGAAGAGAGCGGGAAAGTTGTTGTGGTCCCAGCTTTCACCCACTAATTCATGGAAACAGCTCCAGAGGAACTGCGCAGACACACAGGTGAAGATGATATGGTGTGTATCCTCTTCAGGCCCTCAAAGCGGGCACCGCCCATCACCAGGGCCGTTGCGCTTCAGGACCTCTACATCGGACGGAAGGCGGCCGCGAATCCATTGCCACAAGAAGATCCTAATCTTCAAGGGGAGCCGAATCGCCCAGATGATGGTGAGAGCCTCAGGGCCCGACGAAGGGGCTATAGCCTGGTAGAGAGATTTAGAGAAGAATTGCCCAGATTGCTCTAGCCGCCACCTGGTGCGGTCCTCTCCTATCTCCAACCGGCTCGTGCAAAGCAATGCAGTCGAGCAGGTCCTGCCACTCAGCATTCTCCGCCGGTCCAAATGGTCTCCGGAACGCGAGGTGACCTAAGTCAATAAGGGCCACCGCTACAGAAATCCGTGGATCTACCGCGATGGTGAACAGGTCAGGGAAGCGAGTCGCGAAGGGGGAGTCCCCAGCCATCTATCGAACTAGAACAGCATGGCGGTGCAGGATCCAACTGCAATCGAGGTCCCGATAGGGAGGACTGGGAGGAGTTGTATGATGGATTGCCAGAACTGGGACCCACGATGACCCAACCACGATGACCCAATCACTACACCTTCTTCTGCCGCGTCGGCCTGAATACCAGGAAGGCGGATGAGCTCCGCCTGATGCGGGAGGAAATCGTCCTCTCACCCGTCCGTTCATGTTTGATTGGAAACGACATTGACGCGCTGTAAGCGGCGTGCCGGAGCAGCTTTCTCGACCACCACACCGGTATGAATGCCACGTCATTGAATAAATTAGTATTGGTTTTCATCCTATTTAACTTATTAACCCTGGTCAATTCTACTTTCTCTTAATGTGTAGGCGTCTTGTGAGTTACTCGGAAGAAAAGGCACATAGTGATTATGTCGACCTATACCTGGCCAAACCTCGGGCCGGGCCGGGCTTCGGGCCGGACCTAGCCAAGCCCGAGCCAAAAAACCTGGGCCCAAGCCCGGCCCGGCCCGGCCATCGGGCCTAGTTTTTGGGCCCAAGCCCAGCCCGAACATGCAAAAGCCCGTCGGGCCTCGGGCCTTAGGCCGGGCCCCTTCAGAAAACGGCAAAAATGACGGGCCCAGGCCCGGCCCGGCCAGGCCACCGGGCTCAAAATCTAGGCCTGAGCCCGGCCCGAGAGCAGCGTCGGGCCGGGCCGGGCTGCCCATGGCCAGGTCTATGTCGACCACAGCGTCCACCGGCTCCGACGATATCAAGCATTGCATTATCTCAAGAAGCGATGAGCGCGTGATCATGAGCTGTCACTACTCAAGTTTGAACTGTTCGTAGTAACGACTTTTCTTTGGGCGTATGGCATTATTCAAGTCTATGAGACTTGCTGGCGTGCTGTTGTCCAGCCATCAGTACCAGTCAAGGTCCCTGAAGAAAGGTTGTTCTCCTTGCCATCTCTATAGATTAGTCCGAAAATCGAGACTTTGCCACTTTAATATCTTCAAATCAATTTCTCTTATTCTTTGATACTACCTCTGTATCAAAATATATATAAAAAAATTTGTAGGCTAAACTAACCTAAAAAATGCCTTATATTTAGGAGGGAGTATATATTTTCAAATCCTTCGATTGGGTCTTACCCTTTTGGGCCCATAGTGAGATGTCAATGCCAGAGCCCTCTGTGCCCACTCATGCATGTTCATAACTCCATACACAAGTCGATCGGAATTCGGAAACAACACAAGGCTTTACCACACACGTCGCTCTTCCAGTGTGGGTGAAGCTCATGAATCATCAGCCGACCGTTTTGTGGCCCTGACGAGGCCGGTGATAGCCGTCAGGTATGGCCGTAGATGATGCCAACGAGGTTTCTCCTGTCGCCCTCCTACTCTAGGCCCCAATCCGGACCTGTAGCTATAGTGACGATTTTTCCTTGCGCGTTGAATGCCGTTTGTAGACTTTTTCAGTCTGGCCAGTCATCTATGCCATGGTCTAGTCGACCTTGATATTTTTATCTATATCATCACTAGCCTACCCAGCTGTGTCTTTTTTCCACATCATTTCAAGATTCTGCCATCTCTCATTTATATCAGTGACACACTTTCGTCCTCGGCACAACCAGATGAATGAAGGAGCCTAATGGGTATGCACTACATCTCCATCTTCTTCCTCTTGTTCTTGAGTTCTTTATGCAAATCGGATGACCAGCTAACACAAGCAAAGCCACTCACCCACGATGACAAGCTCGTCTCCAAGAGCGGTGACTTCGCTCTTGGCTTCTTCTCCCCGACCACCTCCAACAAGAGCTTTTACCTTGGCATATGGTACCAGAGCCTTCCCGGACCACACACCGTCGTGTGGGTTGCCAACCGAGACAACCCAATTGTCGCCCCTTTGTCCGCGAAGCTCATCGTCACCAACAATTCTCAAATGGTATTGTTTGACTCCAGAGGCCACAATATTTGGATGACACCAAGCAATATCACTGCTGGAGCGCCAGGAGCTTACGCAGAGCTAAGCAACTCTGGGAACTTTGTTCTCCGGTTGCCAAGTAACACTGACATATGGCAGAGTTTTGATCACCCAACCGACATAATCCTTGCAGGCATGAGGTTTTTGGTGAGCCACAAGGCACAGGTCATCACGCGGCTTGTTGCTTGGAAGGGCTCGGATGATCCATCTTCTGGGGACTTGTCAATCAGCGGCGACCCTAGCGCCCCAGACCTTCAGCTTGTCACTTGGAACAAAACTAGGTCATACTGCCGCACTGTGTGGAACGGTGTGTCAGTGTCCGGTGGCACATATCTATCAAACACCAGCTCCATCCTTTATCAGACTGTTGTCAACTCTGGAGACGAGTTCTACTTCACGTACGCTGACAACTCGGTGTACACACGCGTCATGCTTGATCATACTGGCAAGTACAAGTCTCTAGCATGGAACAATCACTCGTCATCATGGGCACTCATCAGGGAATACCCCACTGCTGCATGCGAGCTCTATGCCTCGTGTGGCCCATTCAGTTACTGTGACTTGACTCAAATGGTCCCAACTTGCCAATCTCTTGAGGGGTTTGAGACTGTCGATGATGCAAACTTTTCTAATGGATGTCGGAGAAAGCAAGCGTTGAAATGTGGTAATCAAAGTCATTTTGTGGCCTTGCCTGGGATGAAAGTTCCTGACAAGGTCTTGCATATACACAATAGAAGCTTGGATGAGTGCGAGGCTGAGTGCAGGCGCAACTGCTCATGTGTAGCTTACGCTTATGCTAACTTAAGCGGGGCGATAGGTATGGCTGACCCGTCAAGGTGCTTGGTATGGTCAGGGGAGCTTGTTGACATTTGGAAGGCAATCAATGGCGGTGAGAGCCTGTACTTATGGCTTGCTGATTCTCCTGGTATTGTTCCACCCCCTCCTTTCTTCCCAAGTAATTAGCATGTACTCTTCAAATTAACACCGATATTCACAAAGGGAGCGTGTGGACATATGATTTCTCATGAACATACCCAGATTATAAAATGTTGTACTATCTTACTGCCTATGTCCGTCTAATTTTCCCATCACCTTGACATGATATTTGAATGATGACATGGTAATCAAAATGTGAACATTGTTTTCCTACTTTAATATATGTACCAAACCCAACAAGATTATAATACTATAGATGTAATATGTGGCGAAAATTTAGGCATATCATTTTTAACCTAATCTATTTTTCTTGAATGGTATCAACAACTAAAATTTAGAAGTTCCATATCCAAAACGCCACATTTTCAGTAACTAAAGAGAGTAATATGGAACATCCTTTTTATCAAACTGGCAATTCCTTTCAAGATCATTTACAAATACAATAGATATACTTTTCCATTCTTGACAAACCTTCAGTTTCAAATGCGTTTACAATTCTTTTCAGATTCATGTCTTAGCTTTTCCATGAGGAAATAGCCAGTTACTGCCATGGCCTGACACTAGCCAAATATACATTATTTAATTTGGAGGGGTAGTTTCTATACACGAGCATAAATACTCTTTTAAAATGATCAAATCTTTATTTTACCACAAACCGTGGTAGCCCAGTTAGCTAAATTATGTTAGTCTAGGAATCAACCTGTGATTGAGTTGGTTAGGTGGACAGTGGTATCCCCAACCCACCAGGGTTCAAATCCTGGTGCTCGCATTATTCCTGGATTTATTTCAGGATTCCGGCGATGCGCTTTCAGTGGGAGGAGACGTTCCGTTGATGACGAGGCGCCTACGGTGACTTCGTAAATCTCAAGATGATATGCCGGCTCAGTCTCTCGGAGGTGCTCATAGGGGTAGGGTGTGCGTGTGTGCGTTCATAGGGGTGAGTGTATGCGCGTGTATATGAGCGCTTGTGTCTGTACTGATGCTCAAAAAAAATTATGTTAGTCTAGACACTTAGTTTAATTGCACAGACCCATCATGGTACTTATATTCAAGTAAATTCCAAAATTTTGGTTTGTTGCATTTCTGCAGTTTATAAGGGGATCAGTTCAGTAAAGATTATAATCCTGATTATAGCATGTGTGCTGCTACTAACATGCGTATGCCTTGTCTGGATGTACAAATATAGAGGTAGAGTAACAAATGTCCTCTTGTTTTTATATATGACACTAGTGTAAATGTTAAGTAAAAATTTGATGTCCTAACAAGCAGGCACATTGCAAAAGAAGGAAAAGCAGAAGAAACTGTCACGATGATACTTTAGCACATCCAACAATCTCGAAGGCAAACATACGGAATTTCCATTTGTTAGCTATGGAGACATCCTTTCCGCAACAAATTTTTTCGCTGATTCCAACTTGCTTGGACGGGGAGGTTTTGGCAATGTTTACAAGGTAATAGATTGTGGTTATCAGAATGTGTTTCAACAGAAGATCAAACAAACATATTTTACACTTCAATTGTTGTCTGACTCCTAAAACACCCTTGATTCTCAAATCATTTTTATCCAACTATAAAATTATTGAAAGAAATAGGTTAGTGGGGGTCACCTATTTAGTAATATATGGGATTAGATTATTGAAAATAAGCAGCATAATGGAATGGGGCATTTTTTTCCATGCACGGTTGCATGTTGAGGTCGGCCGCTTCCTACGCATGGTTGCATGTTGAGTTGACATGTTGTGGGAAACTGGTTAGTGGGGATCACCTATTAGTAATATGGAATTGCTGAAATATATGTCCATGTTGATGCCACATAGTCCAAAATCAGTGTGGTCTGGTTGAGTTGGTGATTTGCACTAGTTTTGATATTCAAGGGCATAACGGAAACAATTTTAGAGTTGAATAATATCTTGTGGGATCAGAATTAAAAGGGGTTAAAATATACTCCCTCCGTCCCAAAATAAATGTCGTTGATTTAGTACAACTTCGGGATGGAGGGAGTACTTCTTTTTGTGAAAAGGTATCTTTATTAGAAGTAAAAAAAAGTCGGTGTCCAACCTGTTCAAGTGAAAAATATGCGCTCATGTAGGGCACACTTGAAGGTGGAAATGAGGTTGCTGTAAAAAGGCTTAGTCAGAGCTCCGGACAAGGTATAGTGGAGTTCAAAAATGAAGTAATTCTAATTGCCAAGCTGCAGCACAAGAACCTAGTCGGACTTCTTGGGTCGTGCATTCATGAAGACGAGAAGTTACTGATCTACGAATACTTACCTAACAAAAGCTTGGATGTTTTTCTTTTCGGTAAATTTCTTTTATCTTTTGTTGAATGCACATTAGAAAATTCTTTAAAGTAACCAAAGTTTTAATCATGTTGACAAGCTTCATTTTATATTAAATATGAAAGATGCTTCATGAAAACATGTGCTTGATTGGTCGACACGGTTGAAAATAATTAAAGGAATAGCAAGAGGTCTTCTTTATCTCCATCAAGATTCAAGATTAACAATAATTCACAGAGATCTCAAAGCAAGCAACATCTTGTTGGACACGGAAATGAATCCGAAAATTTCAGATTTTGGTATGGCAAGAATTTTCGCTACAAACCAAAACCAAGCAAACACTACCAGGGTCATTGGGACATAGTAAGTAATTGGTTTACCAACAAATCCTTGACATTGCTATTTTATGGTTTGCTACAGTTTGTTTTGAGGACTCCTTGACTTGTTTAATGTTTAACAGTGGTTATATGTCGCCTGAATATGCGATGGGAGGTGCTTTTTCTGTAAAATCAGACACATATAGCTTCGGTGTTCTTCTCTTAGAGATCGTCAGTGGCTTGAAGATCAATTCACCTCAGCTCATAACAAACTTTTCTAGCCTTATCACTTATGTCAGTATGATTACAAGATATTTTCAATCTCCCCCTCCCCCCTTTCCCAACAGTAAAGTTAGTAACTTGATGTTGACCTCACTCTATTGCTCAGGCATGGAGACTGTGGGAAGATGGAAACGCCATTGAACTTGTGGACTCTTCCTTTGTTGCAAGTTTCCGACTTCATGAAGTTCTGCGTTGTATTCATGTGGGACTCTTGTGTGTTCAGGACCATGCTAGGGATAGGCCACTTATGTCATCGGTTATGTTTATGTTCGAGAACGAAAGCGCACCGCTTCCAGCTCCAAAGCAACCTGTGTATTTTGCTCAAGGTACTTGTGCGGACGAAGAAGGAAGGGAGATTACATCAAACTCTGTGAATGCAGTGAGTATCACAACAGTTGATGGCCGTTAGTATATGCAGATCTTAGTACAGCTTAATTGTATACTTTATGGCTTGCTCTCCATGAGCTGATCTTTTGTGTGGTTATTCATAATAACTTGTACTCCATATGAGTTTATTATATGAGAGAAGTTGTGAATAACAGAGGGGGAACCGTCCTCACCCCTACCCATGTCCTGCAACTTAATATGCCGTACTAAATGTATAGTACCTTTTTTTGTTGATAAAAGAGTTTAATCAGACTTTTACTTTCAGAAGCCATCCATGATATAATATCCTACTGAATAAGATTAACACCTTCTGCTGTTTGATCAGTTAAAAAAAATTATGTGTCCAAAACGTTGCAAAATACTATAGTCATGATTTAGTTCATGTAGCTGTAGCACACGCCATTTGATTCATTAACCAAATTGTACACTTCATGTCACTGTGGCACACGCCATTTGTTTCATTCATCAAATAAATTGTACACTGAACTCAATATGCCCCCCTTTGCACCTCAAGCGAATAACCTATACTGCAAATTAAGTTCAGAGCAGGAATCCAAATGCAGGTTAGCACCTTTGCTCAAGCCGGGACTTTGAAGGCCCTGGAATGGCCTTGGATTCAACGGACAGGTCGACGCCACAGCACGGCCGGAGCGTCGCCCGCCCTTGCTCGCATCGGCTCCGCGACGAGCAGCTGCCATTGCGCCACCACGGGCTGAGCCGGTTGCTTCCTCCGAGGCCTGTACGCCTCTCGACCGGCGCGCCGCACCGGCGGTGGCCGACGCAGCTTTCCTTATCCTCATCGACTCTGGAAGGAATGGCATTTTTCTTAGGGGTGGAAAGATTGGGAGGCCTTGGCCCAAGTGGTTACGGGGCCGAAAGCCTGTGATGGTCGAAGCTAGGGTGGGCGGCCCATATAGAGCGCTCCTGACGCTCCCAGCACTTCCCCATACTTTTCTCAAAAAAAAAAGAAAAAAAATGTTCTTCCCCAAACTGTCTAAAAAAAAGGTTCTACCCCAAACCCCGGTCAGTTCCTCGACCAAATCCACGCCGGTCTCATTGAACCAGATTCTCTTTGTGCTCGTGTACTGAAGGCAAAGTACTTTTCAACATTCATCTTTATCCTTGAGGCTGAAAGTAAACCCGGTATTTCTTATACTTGGAGAAGTATGTATACTTAGAGGGGCTGAGGTACTAAAAAAAGGTCTCATTTACAGAATTGGTGATGGGTCTAACGTAAACATATGGCAGGATCCTTGGCTCGCAAGAGACGGGTCGCATCAGCCATGTACTCCGAGGGGACAGTGCATTCTCACGAAAGTCTCGGAATTAATCGATCCTACTGCCATGATGTGGGATGAGATGTTGGTCAGGGATATTTTCTGGGAGGAGGATGCTCGGATTATTTTGGCAACACCCATCCGGAAAGACTTTGAGGACACACTATGATAGGAAGGGGTTCTTCTTAGTCAAGTCAGCGTACCGGCTATACATTGCGGAGAGGGTGAGCCAGTTTCCTCTTCTACCAGTGATCAAGATGAGTTCCAGTGGAATGAAATTTGGAGTACCCCTGTCAGCCTAAAGTTAAGAAATTCATGTGGAGATTTGCTCATAGCAGTCTTCCGCTGAAAGTGAATATTAGTCGTAGGGGAATGGATTGTGAGAAACTTTGTGTGTGTTGCCGGAGATTAAACGAAGATGGTTATTTTTTCCGAAAAGGGGACAGACCCTGGCCTCTGCATCAGAACGATGCATACGGCCATATTATTAATAATAATCAAAAAGGTTCCACAAAGATCGTCCGATCTGAAAAGCAGAAAAGCTCACAAAGAGCAAAAGCATCATGACAGGAAAAGCCACAACCGGCAGGCAAAAAAATATAAGATGGGAACCTAAAACCCTATCCTATTACATGACCGCCATCCAAACCGGTTGAAGATATCCCGAGCTACCATCTCCCATCGGACAGATCCAGTAACCAAACGCTCACTGGCCTCCGTCGGAGTGAGTAGCGACCACATACGGATCAATGTAGTAACCTGAAAGATAACCTGCAAGAAATGAATATTTGTTGTTCTGTTAAAAACCAAATCGTTTTTGCAGTTCCATACAACCCATAATAAAGCACATACTCCAACACGGATATATCTCGCACTTTCGGAGTCTAACCCATCTAACCACGTCCCAAATAACGTGTTGATGGTATTCGGAGGAGTAATATTAAAAGCTAAGTACACCGTCCGCCACAAATTTTTTGCCAAGGGACATTCTGTTAGAATATATTGTATGTATATACGGTTGTGTATATAAAACCGTATATACTCTTGGTGTTGCGTGCGTGATCAACTTGTAATCCGGTAGTTAGGTTTAAGCTTCGATCTTTATCTCATAGGATAGCTAACTTGAGGATGAAGCCTAACCAACTACCGAATCCTGTAAACCCTAGCCTATGGCTGTTGGAAATATGCCCTAGAGACAATAATAAATTGATTATTATTATATTTACTTGTTCATGATAATCGTTTATTATCCATGCTAGAATTGTATTGATAGGAAACTCAGATACATGTGTGGATACATAGACAACACCATGTTCCTAGTAAGCCTCTAGTTGACTAGCTCGTTGATCAATAGATGGTTACAGTTTCCTGACCATGGACATTGGATGTCGTTGATAACGGGATCACATCATTAGGAGAATGATGTGATGGACAAGACCCAATTCTAAGCCTAGCACAAAGATCGTGTAGTTCGTATGCTAAAGCTTTTCTAATGTCAAGTATCATTTCCTTAGATCATGAGATTGTGCAACTCCCGGATACCGTAGGAGTGCTTTGGATGTGCCAAACGTCACAACGTAACTGGGTGGCTATAAAGGTTCACTACAGGTATCTCCGAAAGTGTCTGTTCAGTTGGCACGAATCAAGACTGGGATTTGTCACTCCGTGTAAATGGAGAGGTATCTCTGGGCCCACTCGGTAGGACATCATCATAATGTGCACAAGTGATCAAGGAGTTGATCACGGGATGATGTGTTACGGAACGAGTAAAGAGACTTGCCGGTAACGAGATTGAACAAGGTATCGGGATACCGACGATCGAATCTCGGGCAAGTATCGTACCGCTAGACAAAGGAAATTGTATACGGGATTGATTAAATCCTTGACATCGTGGTTCATCCGATGAGATCATCGTGGAACATGTGGGAGCCAACATGGGTATCTAGATCCCGCTGTTGGTTATTGACCGGAGAGTTGTCTCGGTCATGTCTGCATGGTTCCCGAACCCGTAGGGTCTACACACTTAAGGTTCGATGACGCTAGGGTTATAGGGAATAGATATACGTGGTTACCGAATGTTGTTCGGAGTCCCGGATGAGATCCCGGACATCACGAGGAGTTCCGGAATGGTCCGGAGGTAAAGATTTATATATGGGAAGTCCTGTTTTGGTCACCGGAAAAGTTTCGGGTGCTATCGGTAACGTACCGGGACCACCGGGAGGGTCCCGGGGGTCCACCAGGTGGGGCTACCTGCCCCAGAGGGCTGCGTGGGCCAAGTGTGAGGGGGACCAACCCCAGGTGGGCTGGTGCGCCCCCCCACCAGGGCCCAAGGCGAAGAGAAAAGGGAAAAGGGGGAAACCCTATGCTCAGATGGGCCTAAGGCCCACCTAGTGGTGCGCCCCCCCTCTCTCCCCCCTTGGCCGCCCCCTAGATGGGATCTAGGGCTGGCCGCCACCCCTAGGGGTGGAAACCTAGGTGGGGGCACAGCCCCTCCCTTTCCCCTATATATATAGTGGGGGTTTTGGGCTGCCATACACACGAGAACATCTGCTTCTTGGCGCAGCCCTACCCCTCTCCCTCCCCGTCTCTTGCGGTGCTTGGCGAAGCCTTGCTGGAGTATCACGCTCCTCCACCACCACCACGCTGTCGTGCTACTGCTGGATGGAGTCTTCCCCAACCTCTCCTTCTCCCCTTGCTGGATCAAGGCGTAGGAGACGTCACCGGGCTGTACGTGTGTCGAACACGGAGGTGCCGTCCGTTTGGCACTAGGATCATCGGTGATTTGGATCACGACGAGTACGACTCCATCAACCCCGTTCACTTGAACGCTTCCGCTTAGCGATCTACAAGGGTATGTAGATGCACTCTCCTTCCCCTCATTGCTAGATTACTCCATAGATTGATCTTGGTGATGCGTAGAAAATTTTGAATTTATGCTACGTTCCCCAATAGTGGTATCAGAGCTAGGTCTATGCGTAGTTTCTATGCACGAGTAGAACACAAAGCAGTTGTGGGCGTTGATTTTGTCAATTTACTTGCGTTACTAGTCTTATCTTGATTCGGCGGCAACGTGGGATGAAGCGGCCCAGACCGACCTTACACGTACTCTTACGTGAGATTGGTTCCACCGACTGACATGCACTAGTTGCATAAGGTGGCTAGCGGGTGTCTGTCTCTCCCACTTTAGTCGGATCGGATTCGATGAAAAGGGTCCTTATGAAGGGTAAATAGAAATTGGCATATCACGTTGTGGTTTGGGCGTAGGTAAGAAATGTTCTTGCTAGAAACCTATAGCAGCCACGTAAAAACTTGCAACAACAATTAGAGGATGTCTAACTTGTTTTTGCAGCATATGCCTTGTGATGTGATATGGCCAAAAGGATGTGATGAATGATATATGTGATGTATGAGATTGATCATGTTCTTGTAATAGGAATCACGACTTGCATGTCGATGAGTATGACAACCGGCAGGAGCCATAAGAGTTGTCTTTATTTATTTATGACCTGCGTGTCAACATAGACGTCATGTAATTACTTTACTTCATTGCTAAAGCGTTAGCCATAGTAGTAGAAGTAATAGATGACGAGACAACTTCAAGAAGACACGATGATGGAGATCATGATGATGGAGATCATGGTGTCATGCCGGTGACAACGATGATCATGGAGCCCCGAAGATGGAGATCGAGAGGAGCAAAATGATATTGGCCATATCATGTCACTATTTGATTTCATGTGATGTT